CACAAGGTGGCCCTCGGCCTCATAAGTTTCACAAATTCACAGGTGGCCCCTCGGCCTCATAAGTTCACAAATTATAACCTTTCATATCTTCACAATTTATATCTTTCATAAGTTCACAAGTTATTCCTTTCATATCTTCACAAATTATATCTTTCATAAGTTCACAAGTTATTCTTTCATATCTTCACAATTTATATCTTTCATAATTTCACATAACCGGGTGACCCATAAAGGGACCAAATTGGCTCTAAGCCCAGCTCTTGTAGTGTGGGACTCAAGAGGTGGTTCGTATTGCAGCACTTAGTTTCATACTAGGAATCAATAGTTCTTGAAGACTGAACAATTCATATTATGCCATAGCATAAACGAAGTGAATAAACATAACATAATAATGCAGGTTCATACAAATACCGTTCACAAGGTGCACATAAATTTCCTTTATGATTCATTACATGTAGCCATAGTCATCTTACATATAACAAAGTATTAATAATAATTATTTACAGAAACACATGTGTCGTTATACTATTCATGGGATGGAACAAGTCACACCATAACGTGAGTCATATAACAATGTTATTGATATTCCATTCTTTGACATATAAGGAAACCCATGGTTCTGTTCGATTTTCATTTCGTTAATCCATTTTAGGCAGATGTCTATGTCATAAAACATGTATCGAACTAAATAAGGCTGTAGGAGTCCAGGATAGGACGTTCAAAATGTCATGTTCCCATTAAGCGGGGTTTATATTCATAATCCCTTCTTGCCACCAGTTGCATAATATTAATAATTCTTGTGCGGAGTTATAGGTAATTTACAGGTTATTATACATTAAGGATAATCATTAACCATAATCAGAATGTAGAGTAGTTTCAGCGTCATACCGAAGTGCACATAATTTTTAATGTTCTCACCGATCCCTAAACAACATAAATGCTTACAAAGAACAGTGCGTTAACAATAAGAATTATTTACGGTAAGTAAACGTACGATTGCAGAACTACTACTCACAGTGATCAGTTCCGGTGGTAATAGGACGATGTTCTCGTCTCGACCTACAAGTACAGTGCACAACACATAATGTGAGATTATACTCGATCATTTACTTATTCTCTTTGATCATTCACTTAATTAGCCATGGTGGTACCAAGCTCATTATTTCTTAATAAGTTATACTCCATGTCACAGAAACAGGAGAAATCAATGGAAAATGGTTTAGGTGAAGAAATGGTATAAAATTAGTTGACAGAAAGTGAACAGTCGTCACTAATTTGGGCATAGCTATTTTTGTATTTAGAATTTGGGAGTGAGACCACTTCCATTGAAAACTAGACTTCCGGGGCTTGATTTTAGGCTCAAGAATCACTCAAAACGGAGCCCCGGGCAAAAGATATGCTCATCCAAAGATGGCTGGACAAAGCTGTCTCCCGCACGTGCGGGAAACAGGGCCGCACGTGCGGCTCTGGGCAGATTGCTGTCCGAAAATGGCTGAAACTTTGGGGCTTTTCATTTTCAAAATCAAACCTTAATTACATGTAAATCAAAGTCCAAAACCCTTTAATACATGACCAATTTCACAATATTATTCTCCATCAACCATCTAACCTCAAAATACACAATATAATGCCTATACTTTTTCAATCAGAAATTCTAAGGAAATCAAGGTTCCATCAATATGTATACATAAAACCCTAACTCAAATGGGTTCAAAGCTTCCCTTATTATCATGATTTCATGAAATTGATGTCTCAAACATAAGGATTCGAGATAGATGATCATACCCTAGTTCCATCCTTGTCTTTCTCCTAGCTTTCTCCAATTCCTCCCAAGCTTCCATGGATGATCTTCTTTTTCTTTCTTCACCCCCTTCAAGCATCTTCAAAACCCCATGAGTGTTGATTAGAGGAGCTTTCCTCTTCTTCCTTCCCTCTCTCTCACGGTTCTCTTCTCTCTCCCCCAAATATTTATTTGACTTCCAAATGATAAGTTCACCACTCACATAGCATAACCATATATATATATAACCAACACCTAAGCTTTCAACAATAGGAATAGCCAAACACGCCTTACGAATCGCGAAAAATTAAATTTCAATTACAGTTCCCAGGTGACTCTAAAATTGTGCTGATCATAAATATGTCCCCTGTTCTGGTTTCTGAAGCCTCTAGGGCCTTCAATTTGCAGTATAAGTTAACCACCTAAACATGCATTAACGAGTCAGACAAAATAGATTTCAATTAATTTTCCCCAATAGTTCTAAAAATTCCCATTAAAATCCCAAGTACTCAATTTTGATTTCTGAACCCGTAAAGGTCGGTAATTTCATATTTTACAGTCGTGGCTCAACAAATAATTCCTCAATTTGAACACATATCATAAATCAAAATGCATTAACACAATAGGCCGTAAAGGTAATCTCTAATACGGTTTTGGGGTCGTTACAGGTTTGGTCCATGAGTTGAGACAACCTAGGTCGCAAGACACCAGCACCACCTCTACTCAGGCCGAGCAGACAAACGGCCGATATGAAGCTCCACCTCCACCTCCACCTCCTCCAGTGCTGCAAGTGCCTCCATAACAAGCTTTATATAGGAACGGTACGATAACCTTAATCAAAGAGTTCAAGAAGATGAACCCGCCAAGATTCCAAGGGGTATAGAGCCGATGAAAGCCAAAGCATGGGTTTTGGAAATGGAGAAGTTGTTCGAGATTTTTCCCAGCACCGACGCCCAGAAGGTGTCATTAGCAGATTCACGTTAGACGACGATGCTCGAAGATGGTGGATGATGGTCCGGAGAAGTAATCTGGGTTTGACTTGGGCTAGATTTTTGGAATTGTTCTACAACAAGCACTTTTCCCTTAGTGTCGCGGATCGTAAGACCACAGAGTTTCAGACTCTAACACAAGGCAATAAGACAGTGACAGAGTACGACCATGCTTTTACCGAGTTAGGAGATATGCGCCTCATATGGTCGATGATGAATATAGAGGCTAGGTAGTTTGAAAGCGGACTGCGTGGACCGATATAGGATCGAGTTAACATGCTCAACATGCCGACTTACGTCGGAGTGTTAGACAAGGCCATCCTGGCAGAAGCTAACTTGAACTGATATCAAAATTCCGGAGAAGAACCAAAAGAAGAGGCAGAATTATGATAATCGCCAAGTTCCATTTAACGCCAAGAAGAAGACGAATGTGGGCAGCGCCAGTAACTCGAATCAAGAGGTGATACTAAGCCGACGTGTGGGAGTTACGGAAAGCCACATTTCAGGGTCTGTCGTTGGGCGTCAGGAGCTTGCTTTGAATGTGGCGAGACGGGGCATCGTGTGAAAGACTGTCCGAAGGCAAAGGCTGATGATGGTAAAAGAATGGGAACACCTCAGGTCCGGCGCAGAAAGGCAAACATCGGGAAGGGATAGATAAGGCAAGGCAGAGTTTTTGCTCTAGTGCCAGGAGACACTCAAGGTGCCAGAACAATGGTGTCAGGTATACTTCCCATTTGCTCTCAAGATGCATATATATTGATTGATTCGGGTTCTACTCATTCATTTGTATCTACTAAGTTTGTCGAGAAGTTGAATAAGGAATTAGAACCCCTTGATTATGTGTTATCTGTGTCTACTCCGTCTAAAAAAACTATGACTGTTGCATCTATTTATAGAGCATGTGTTGTTATGATTGAGAATGTTTATAGTTGATTTGATGCCGTTGGACATTAACTCACTTTGATGTCATATTGGGAATGGATTGGTTAGTAGAAATAATGCATCCATTAACTGTGTTCCAAAAGTGTCATATTGAGACCCTCAAACAAAGCCAAGGTTATGTTTCAGGGTAAAGAAGTGGTATCCCACCTTACTTGATCTCATCCATGAAGGCTTATAAGTTGATTCAAAAGGGTGTCAAGGTTATTTGTGTAGCATATTAAGCAATCGGAGTGGAAACGTTGAATTGGCCAACATCCCAGTTTGTTAAAGAATTTTCCGACGTCTTTCCAAGTGACTTGCCTGGCTGTTTAGTCGATAGAGATAGAGTTTACTGTTGACGTTATGTCGGGAACCCATCCTATCTCCAAAACACCCTATAGAATGGCCTCAGGCGAGCATAAGGAATTGAAGGTGCAATTACAAGAGTTGTTAGATAAGGGCTTTATTAGGCCAAGTACTTCACCCTGGGGAGCACAAGTTCTATTTGTGAAGAAAAATGATGGTACACTTCGTCTTTGTATTAATTACCGAGAACTGGACAAAGTAACCCCTAAGATAAGTACCCATTGCCGAGGATCGATGACCTGCTTGATGAACTACAAGGGGCACGAGCCTTTTCAAAAATTAATCTCAGGTCGGGCTACCATTAGCTCAGGTTAAAGCCGAGGATGTTGAGAAGACTACTTTCGGACAAGATATGGCCATACGAATTTTGGTAATGCCTTTGGAGTGACTAATGCTCCTGCAGCATTCATGGACTTGATGAACAGAGTCTTTAAACCTCACCTAGACGAATCTGTGGTTGTCTTCATCGACGATATATTGATCTATTCCAGGAGTGAAGTTGAGCATGAGAAGCATCTGAGACTTGCCTTACAGATTCTGAGAGACAGAAAGTTGTATGCCAAGCTTAGCAAGTGAGAGTTTTGGCTTTTCAGCATTTCATTTTTGGGGCATGTGATTAATGAAGAAGGTATTTCAGTCGATCCTATAAGATTAAAGCCGTTGTGATATTGGCCGACACCGACCAATGTGTCCGAGGTTGTATTTTCTGGGTTTGGCCGGTTATTACAGAAAGTTTGTGAATGACTTTTCAAAGATTGCAATACTTTGACGCAACTAACTCAGAAAGGAGTGGCGTATGAATGCGCGAGGATAGGAATCAGCCTTCCAGGAACTCAAGACGAGGGTAGTGATTGCACCGGTTCTTGTACTACCGTCAGGTAATGAGGAGTTTCAGATTTATAGTGATGCATCACATAAGGGTTTGGGTTGTGTATTAATGCAAGGGGGTAAGTAGAGCATATGCATCGCATCAATTGAAACCTCATGAAAAGAATTATCCTACCCATGATCTAGAATTAGCAGCCGTAGTATTTGCTTTGAAGATTTGGCGCCATTACTTGTATAGAGCTTCTGGCCAATTTTTCACAGATCACAAGAGTTTGAAGTATTTGTTCACTCAGAAAGAACTGAATATGAGACAGAGAAGATGGCTTGAGTTATTGAAGGATTACGACATGCGGATTCAGTATCATCCAGGTAAGGCAAACTCAGTAGCCGACGCTTTAAGCAGGAAATTAATTGGGAGTTTGGCATGTTGGCAATGATCTCAGTGGAGCGACTATTATTAAGGAAGTGAAGACCAGGCAGATAGAGGATGAATTCTTAAAAAGGGTGATTAGTGAATTTGTCACCAAGCCGAGATCAGGGTACGCCATTTGAAATCAGGTACTTAAGTTTGAAAGAAGATTGTGCGTGGACGATGTCCCCGAGTTTGAAAGAAGAATTTTACAGGAAGCTCATGGTTCCAGATTTGCGTACATCCAGGGAACACCAAGATGTATCAAGTTGTGAAGTAGACTTTTTGGTGGCCAAATAGAAGAGAAATAGCCGAGTTGTATCTCAGTGCCTATATTGTCAACAAGTGAAAACAGAGCACCAGAGACCAGCAGGACTTCTTCAACCTTTGTCGATTCCAAGTGGAAATGGGAGCAACATCTCCATGGATTTTGTGGTTGGTTTGCCGAGGAACACAGAGGGTATGATTTAGTTTGGGTGTAGTCGATGATTATAGTCACACACTTCTTGCCTGTTAAGACTACCTTTAATGCCGTCACTCTCTTTGTTGTATATGAATGAGATCGTTAGACTTCATGAGTGCGATGTCCATTGTGTCAGATCAGATCCGAAGTTTGTTTCTAGATTTTGCAGAGTCTACAAAGAGCTTTGGGAACCGAGTTGAGGTTTAGCACAGCTTTTCCTCCCCAGACCGATGGGCAAACAGAGAGGACAATTCAGACACTTAGATATGCTTAGACTATGTGTATTGGACTTCAAAGAAGTTGGGAGGTCATTTGCCGCTAGTTGGGATTCGCTTACAACAACAATTATCAAGCCAGCATTGGCATGGCCCGTATGAAGCTTTGTATGGAGAAAGTGCAGATCGCCGATACGTTGGACTGAAGTAGGAGATAAAGCAATTAAGGTCCCAGCTAATTCAAGTACAACCAAGAAGATTAAGCTCATTCGACAAAGATCAAAATCTGCTCAGAGTCGACAGAAGAGCTATGCGACCAGAGAAGAGAAAGAGTTGGAATTTGAAGTTTGGGGATCATGTATTTCCTGAAGGTTTCACCGATGGAAAGGAGTGATTTCAAGATTTGGAAAGTAAGTCTGGCACTCGTTACATTTGGGCCGTTTTGAAATCTTGAAAGGTTAAACCCAGTTGCCTACAGACTTGCTTTGCCACCAGAATTAAGCCAAGTCCACAATGTTCATGTTCCATATTAAAGGAAGTATATTCGGATCCATCGCATTGTGATTGATCATTTCTGGATCGTGCGTAATAAGATTAGGCTACGAAGAGAAGGATGAGAATTATCGATTAGACAAGTGGAAAACGGCTGAGAAACAAGTCAATACTGATGGGTGAGTTGAATGGAAGGAGCATTATGGCAAGGATCTACATGGGAAATGGAAAGAGAATATAAATCTGAACACCGGAGTTGTTTGTGGGGCAAGCTAACTCAAGTTTTAGGGGACCAAACTTCTTTAAGGGGGGGAAGGATTGTAGCAACCCTCACCTTATCCTATGTCACACTTACCGTACATTTTTGCAATGATCTGCATTGATTAAAGCTTGCATTTTGCAAATTTTGATTAGTTTCGTTTAAAGTTGTTGCTTGTCTGTTTGATTCCTTGCTAGGTGTGAGTTTAGCCAAGGTCATTCTTAAGCCTAGGTTTCCCTTTGAACTTTCTTAACACTAGGACCATCTTTGGAACCACCTTGGTGAATCCTTCCACCCTCACCTTGAACATTTGGCCGAGATGTCCATATCTAGGCCGAGGGTTCATCACCCAGGGCCGAGATGCTGTATTATCTAGGCCGAGATGTTATACCAAAAGTGATCTGTCCCTGGACTAGTACGACCTAGGACTAAGGTTGGTGGACAGCTAGCCAAGTGTTGTCTTCTAGCCGAGCATCATTAGACCTTTACTTCCGAAGCTTTTTTGTCCATTAGCTCAGATATTTACCCGCCGAAAGTGGCCCATGTCACCTTACTTGTTGCTTACACTTTGTCATGCTCTTAGTCATATAATCTATCACCTTTATAAGGAGATCCAACCAGCCGTTGCCACGTGTCCCGCAGAGGGTTAAGTTAGCCGGCAAAGTTCGAACATATCATTTTTGTGCATACCTCTTGCATGTAGAGAGAGAAGCTCTAGGAAGAGGAGAGGAATTGGAGTGAGAAAGCTAGTCCCAAGCCTGATCCTTGAGTTTGAGCTTGTTGAATCCTGTTTTGAGGTTAGAATCTTGATTTACCTCTTGTCATTCTTGATGTTGATCGACCGATTTACCGCAACATTGCATGATCTAGCATGTGTCATGTTGCATTCCTAGCTTGTATGCCTAGGTTGCATTGCATCTTGCATGCATTCCTTGTCCCTTGACTTGGGTGATAGGGATTGAAAGGTATAATTTGTGAACTTATGAGGCCGAGGGCCACTTTGTGAATTTGTGAACTTATGAGGCCGAGGGCCAACTTGTGAATTCTGAAATTATGAGGCCGAGGGCCAACTTGTGAAGTATGAATCTGTAACTTGTGAAACTATGAATCACAAAGGCCGAGGGCCAATTTGTGAAGTTATGCATCTAAGTTAAGCCAAGGGCTAATTTGTTAATGTGTGAACCCATCAGGCCAAGGGCCAACCTATGAAGTTATGAACCGACAAGACTGTCCTTAAATGTGTACAGAATCAGACTAACCACAGGATTTTTGCATTTACTTATCTAATTAGAGAAATGTGTACATTGTAAGTAAATTAAGTTAATCTTTAAATTGTTTATGTACTACTGTTCACTGAGCTTGACTCACTTTGTCTTATGTCTGTTTCTGTAGGCACTCCACCTGGAGGTCAGTTTTAACCCATGGCATCCGTGCCTCTTTTGTCAACCTCAGAGTATCCAGGCACTTAAGTGAAGGCAGCCTTTTTGCTAAACTTTTGATTTTACACTCTGATTGTTTGCTTAAGGTTGATGTATATATAATTCCTTTGCCTGTCCATGTTGTTTTACGCCCAATTCTAAGGGCTGGGTCTGTATATATATATAGCTGTACATAGCTAACTCTCTGGTGCACGTCACTGTATGTTTATTTGCCTTATGTTCTGTCTGTGATCCTGGCATGATAGTGGTCGCTCAATGGATGCAGTTCTTTTATTTATGTTAATTTATATTGGTAAATGCTTCCGTTCAGGCCCCATATGATATGTATACCAGGTTATGCGTCCGTTTCTGTGTAGGTCATGCCCAAACTTTTAGGGGCAAGTTTAGGGCGTGACAAAACCTTTGACCAATCTTTCTAATCAGTCCAATCTGTCCTTAGAATAATCTCGGCCAACTGGAGGTCTACCCCTTCTCATGATGCTAGGAGTATGCAAAATATGACTTTAAAACAAAATGAACAAATAGACATGTATGCAAGTAACAAATGATCATGCCGAGATGATGCACACATTGTCAAGTAGCAAGCAATATGATGCAATCCTAACATCATTCTAAGGGACATCCTATGCTCTTTAGGACTCAAAGTGTGTGAATAACGTACTATAAGGAACTGGTGCTTTGATACCAATCTGTCACGACCCCATTCCGCCCCAAATAGAATGGTGCCGTGATGGCCAGTAATCCGAGATTACCAAAGGCCAACTTGCAAAGATTCACACACAATCAGAGTATACATATGGGGCTTACATGTGCGGAAGCAATAAATTTAAAACTAAATAGTCCACAAGAGTTGTGCACAGATCAAATGAAATGACATACATCTTAATATAGCTTACAACTTGGATACAATAAAATAAAGTACAAAATACATCTTGATCAAAAGGCTTCTCAAGTTGACATATACAAAAGAGATAAGTACAAGCCAAGAAGCATAATCTTCAAGATGCTACAAAACATGAATCAAAAAACATCTTGAAACAATCATCTAGGCGTCACCGCCTTCCTGCTCGTCACCTACATATATATAGAGAGGGTGAGCTTGGATACTTAGTGAATAATACTAGTAATAAAGGCTTTGCATGAATGATATTCAAGATCTCTTTTCTAAACAATATATAGCATACTATACAAAATCAAGAGATGAACCAAGTCCATCAATCAAGTCTTTCAAATCTTCAAGGGATGCTTACTAGCATCAATATAATAAAAGGGATGACATTAAACAAAGGTGCTACAAAAGCTTAGAGTTCTCTAGCACGTAAGGACTTGTGCTACAAAAGTTTAGAGTCCCCTAGCACGTACGAAATTGTGCTACAAAGGTTTAGAGTCCCCTAGCATGTACGGACTTGTGCTACAAAGGTTTAGAGTCCCCTAGCACGTACGGAATTTCCAAGAATGTCATCCAAAACAAGGCTAATACTTGATACACAAAATAGGGGTATTCATTCATGCTTAACAAATACTTTTTCCAAAACAAAGTAAAGCAAAGCTTTATCAAAACTTTATAACATAACTTTATTAAAAATACCACTCACATAGCTCTTCGGGTGAAGGGATTACAAGCAAGGATCCAAGGCCTACAAGCACATAATAAATCCCATTGAATGCATTTCAATAAGACAAGGTGAGATGCTCAAAGATGGATATGAAATACATCCTTAAAACAAGCTTTACATGACAGGAAAGGATCTCGGCATTTCTTTCAAAATCTAGTCAAAACAATGCAAAACATGCTGGGAGTTACAACATTGCCTTTTATCTCGGGAAAACATGCTGAGTACTAACCAGGTCTAGGCCGAGGTCCCACACCTCTTGGCCGAGGTGTGTTCCAGACGACCACATTCAAGGAAATGAAGTCTGGGAAAATCTGGGTTTCCCTCTTGAAGATCATGAAGAGCATGAATGCTCAATTCATAACTTCTTTATTCGAAATCTGAGTTTTCATGAGATGAGTTTGAAAATATGGACCTGGGTACCCATACTTGAAGATCTTATGAAAAACAAACACAAAAACATGGATCTTGTTACAAGCTTTCGGATCAAAACATGGTTTTATCTCAAGAACACAAGAACATCATTTTCTCTTTCTAGAACAAACTTTAAATCAATGCATGGTTCATGAATCATGCTAGATCATGCAATGCAATCAGATCAACATCAAGAATGACAAGAGTAAATCAAGATTCTAACCTCAAAACATGGATTCAACAGCTCAAACTCTAAGGATCAGGCTTGGGATCTAGCTTTCTCACTCCAACTTCCTCTCCTCTTCCTAGAGCTTCTCTCTCTACCATGCAAGAGGTATGACACAAAATGATATGTTTCTAACTCTGCCGGCTAACTTAACCCTCTGCTGGGACACGTGGCAACGGCTGGTTGGATCTTCTTATAAAGGTGATAGATTGATAAGACAAGAGCATGACAAAGTGTAAGTAACAAGTAAGGTGACATGGGCACTTCGGCGGGTAATGATCTGGGCTAGGACAAAGCTTCGGCAAGTAAGGTCTCAATGATCTCGGCTAGGAAGGACAACACTTGGCCTAGATGTGCCACACCTCGGTCTAGGTCGTACCAGTCCAGGGACAAGATCACTTTGGTATAACATCTCGGCCTAGATAATACACATCTCGGCCCTGGGTGATGAACACCTCGGCCTAGATAATGACATCTCGGTCAACATGTCAGGGTGAGGGTGGGGGTCAACCAAGGTGGTTCCAAGATGGTCCTAAGTGTAAGAAGTTCAAAGGTGTAACCTAGGCTTAAGATGACCTCGGCTAAACTCACACCAAGCAAGGAACAAAACATGCAAGCAACACTTAAACGAAACTAATCAAAATTTGCAAAGATGCAAGGTTAATCAATACAAAGATCATGCAAAAATGTATGTAAGCATGACTAGGATAAGGTGAGGGTTGCTACAAATGCTATAAATAGAACAAAGTGATTTAATATGAAAATCTGATGAAAAAGGACATTTTGGAAAATTTGATATGAAAATAGAACAAAGTGATTTAATATGAAATCTAATGCAAAAAGATTACAATCAGTGCATTTTGGAAAATATAGTGTCCTAAAAAACATTTTGGAAAAATTGTAAAAGAAAATTTTCAAGGTTTGACTCTTGTAAAAAAATAAATACTAAAATTTTAATTTTATTAATTTAAATCTTAATCTTTTACAGTAGTTTATTTTCTGTCTAAATCTGTTACTTATTCTTGTTAAGTAAAACTAACGAAAAGGTAATATTTTAGTTATTAAACTTAATAAAAAAAACTATTTTATACATTTTATTTACACTTACATTAATTTAATAAATATTTTTTTCTCAACTCTTGTGTAGCACACGTGCCCTACTAATATTAATAAACAAAATTTACCTTTGAAAGAGAATCAATTTCACATCCACCATCTACCTATGGGAACATTCAAAGGAGCAAAAACGGCCAATCAACTGGAATTTTGATTTGCCATCTCAAAATTATGATAGCGAACAAAGGCACTAAAAACTAAATGCAAATCTATTATATTGAATTTTGAATTTTCATAATTTCATACCTATATCAAAAGATGAAGATTTTATGGAATTGAAGCAGCAAAAATTTTGCATTGCTCTGACTATAAATAATAACCAACAAAAAAAGCATGAAAGATCAACTTGAACCGCTGAGAGATGAGAGCGAGTGAACAATGAAACCGAAAAGTGGAGATCAACGAGTCTTAGAGAGAGAGAGAGAGAGAGAGAGAGAGTTAAGGAGTAATATAAAACATTATTTGATACTACAATAAGAAGATGAGAGCATGTGAGAGAAACAAAAATGACAGAATCACTAGTCAAGATTTAGAGTGATTAATTACTTGCTTGTTTGGTTTTGATTTTCAGAAAATTCTATTTTTTTATTCTCCGTATTTTTTTTTTTGTTTTCAATGAAATTTTTTAAAATATTTTAAGCAATTTTTTTAATTTTTAGACACACCTAATATAAATATACTTAAAAAGTATAATATTTGTGAAAAAATCTTTAAACAATTCATTAAATACTAAAAATACAATATATATATATATATATATAATATTTTTCGTATTTTTGTGTATTTATTGATTTTTTAAAAAAAATTTACAAATATTTTACTTTTTAGGTACAATTAGGTTAGGTGCATTTAAGAAGTAAAAAATTTGCTTAAAATATTAAAAAAATCACTGGAAAAAAAAAACTTTTATTATTATTATTATTATTATTATTATTATTATTATTATTATTATTTCTTTTTATGTCAATTTTTATTCACTCTATCCCATCATGAAACATGATTATTATTGCATGTCAGTTTTATTACATCCTACTTCCCTGTTCCTCAGTGCTTGCTTTTGCTTCACTACAAGAAGCAATAAGACTAAATAAGATTAGATCAGAACCAAAGATGTGCAACGTAGTTTGGGTAATAAGAGTAGATAAGATTTTATTAATTCCAAATCAAATTCCATTTTCAAATGCCAATTCCATCTAATTCCATCTAATCCCACTATTCCAAATATGTTACCATTTGAGTTCTAATATGGATATGATAATAGTGTTTATAGAAGGAGAAATCTTGAAGACCATAATTTGGTTGCACTGCCGTTGTAGCGATCCCGGTTTTATCCCGACCTTTAATATGTTTCGGACTCGGGTTCCGTGATTGTATATTGTTGTCTGTCTTGTTTCCTCTCTTTAATTCTTTGAATATGAGCTTTGGGACTTGTTGGGCGAGTTTGGAACAGGTTGGTTGTCTTTTGGTACAAATGGTTGTTGCCCAGATTTTGGCCTCTTCGCTCGGGCGAGATTTCTTGCGCTAGAGCGAGAAATGAGGGTCTTTAGGTTTTTCTCCCAGACCCAACTTTTCTGGGAAGGTGAAAGTGCGTTACTCGAGCGAGCCTTGTGAAATTGTTTCTTCGCTCGACTGAGACTTCTTGTGCTCGAGCATGCATCTGCGTTGGTGGCAGACCTGAAGCTTTGCATTCTACGCTCGAGCGACGCTTCTTGCGCTCGAGCGAGGTCACTGTTGTGTCTAGTCGCTCGAGCGACGACTCCTTCGCTCAGGCAAGGAATGCGTATATCAGTTCGCAGTAGCGTGATTTTATATCACTTTTGGGTCTCCTTTTCACTCAAAAACCTAATTCAGTTTTCTCTCTGTCTAAAACACACCCTCTCTCTATAAATACTCCATGATCTTGGGTCTCTCTAC